AATAAAAATTCAGGTGAATACATCGTTTCCCTCTGCTGGGCATGTCGTAATTGCAGACTTGGTTGCAGTTCACGTGGCATCGGTGTCGAAAAACCGATATCGCATGTGCATGTTAATTTTGCTGAGTATTCTGTTGTTACGGAATTGGCATTGTCGAGCTCCTAGCATCAGCTGCGAAATAAGTACACGACATGTGAAAAAATGACTATGCCTAAATGCTTTAGATAAGCGCTACGTGTAGCCTTCAAAAACGCGTTTGGGGTTTAAAAATCGCTCTTGGGTTGCGCCACGCGTCCAATTCCACTGGGGTGGCTTTGTCATGTGAATGCGTATTTCTTTTGAACAATGATCTGCGTATCCCAGGGAATCGGCACGTCAGTGATTTGATCTCAGAAGCAGTTGATTCCATTTGATCGACTCTGGAGAGGATGAACCGATCGTCGTGAAGAGCTTTCAAGCCAGGATTTGATCCCCCGGACTATACATGCAGAGCGGCGTCACTTTATACTGTTTCGCCTCTGTCCACTGATTATATGAAACTGAGCTGACAGATCTTCGTCGATTCAGAATTGATTTGCAGTAAGCAAAACGGAAAGGTCTACTTGACCGAGGGAGAGAAAGACCTAACCAATGTAAAGGTTTGTTCTTTCAAAATAGTCTGGTGCGGGTTAGGCTGATTCTTATGCCGATGGCTTAAATTCAAAGTATCTATGTGATAATCAAATATCGGATTGGGTGAATTTATAGAAGTAATTCTTTAGACTTTCAATCCCACTCCAGTCGTGGTCAGTTTTCATGGACGAATACGAATTTGTTGGCCCATTAATAATTTCTGAGCGAAATTTTATTTCTGCAAGGTTTTGTCCTTATTTCCTGTAATAAGCACTGCTTCTGTTCTTTACATTTCCCCTGTGCAAATTTTTTATGATTTTGGAAGGAATTCTAGACGATGGCGACCTTGCGCTACGCTGCACGGTTTGTAAATCGTAATCCGCGAAACCTGGAGATGATGGGTTTTCAGAAACCTCCAACAGGCTACGAATTTGAAAAAGATCGAGACCGACGAAGCTTTATTTACAAGTTAGTTTGTTTCATTTACTTCTTTTTATTTGTTTTTCATAAGTGCTTCGTGGAGAACAAATATTTATTGGTTTTATGGAGTGCAAGTTTTTTTTTTCCCTCACGCTGTCTTACATAGCGTAATGAATAAATAAAAAAAAGTTTTCATGCTGTGAAACCATTGCTCGCTTCTTTTGTTGATAATATAATTCACTTCTCATAACGCTCGTGATTCCTTTAAATTATTAAGTCATTTAAGTGAATTCCACGCAATCGCCAAAAAATGGCATCCACAGCTACTAATGGGGTTCCTCCACTTGACGTTCGTGCTATCTTAGTCTTAGTATTTGTACTCTTGCATTCGTATTGCTATTGGGCCTCCGTATTTGAGTCATTTTGGGGGGGGGGGGGGGGGGAGGGGGGGGGGGGGGGGGGGGGGGGGGGGGGGGGGGGGGGGGGGGGGGGGGGGGGGGGGGAGGGGGGGGGGGGGGGGGGGGGGGGGGGGGGGGGGGGGGGGGGGGGGGGGGGGGGGGGGGGGGGAATGGGGTGGGGGGAGAATGGTGTGCTGTTTCGCCATTTCGTGAATTGCAGGGTAAAAATACTCCATTGTATCCATATAATTTGAGAGGCTCATAGCGCAGTTAAATCTTAACCTGCAGTTTTCTGTTGACTGGTCGGCTAAGGATACGTTTCACGATTGAAGAGGTGAAGATTATTGCACCAAAGTAAAAGTAGTTATTGTGACCAGCTACCCATGAACAAATAATGCGAAACCTCTTATAACGCTTGATGTCAGGCTTTGCGAATCGAGCTATTCGCTACTAGCGATTCGCTAGCGTCCGCGGTCGCGTTGCGGTACCAGCCAATTGAGTGATTCACTGGCCGCGACGCGACCGCAGACGCTAGCGAATCGCGCGATTCGCAAAGTCTGACATCGGCCTAACGTGGCGCACCGGTCGCTGGCGCAGAATTTGCACCATGCCTCTGCGATAATTTCCCTCTCGTCTTTTAACCACAGTTCATCATAGGAACGGGTAACGAATTATACTGCCCAAGGGCAGGCGCAAACACGATCATACGGTAACCGAGTTATAAGTTTGAAGAGGTCTTATCAGTTTGTATCACTTCCCCTTACTACTGGTGGATTAGTTACCGCAGTGTGTTTATTTTCGAGGGCAGTGACCTATTAAATCGCGTGATCTGCCCTGAAGGCTAAGTGCAGAATTTAAAGTTCAACTCTGAACAGATTCAAGCACTACTTCCTCCCCTTTCCCCCATCCACCTTTCATTTCTTTCAAATCCCGAAAACTCCGTCAGTAGAGATTTACTTGGATATCTGCAATGGTGATATGGTAATAGTTCAAAATTTCCTTATTTTTGTGAGAATTCTCCAGATTTCAAAAAAAAATTCCCAGATTTGATCCCCACATTTTAAAATGGATCCATACGCGGTCGTTTCCCTTGAAACTGAATATTGTCATTAATCTTTCTGGAAACTCCCCGATGCAGTGATAGTTTGAGTTTGGCATAACTCGAGGAGTCACGAAAGCTCCGCTGATAGGAGTTTGGTTGCACTTGCGCGTAAGGAGTAATTCCAAGCGTCGTCCTCTCGACAGCGCGTTGGATAACGCTGACCGCATGCTCGTCCTGCCTGCGCAGAGTCCAAGTCTCTGAGGCGTAGGTTAGGGCAGGAAGGACAGCGGAATCGAAGAGGTGGGCACGGAGCCGGATGTTCTTCGTCTTCTTCACTACTCCCTCGATATTTTTGTATTTTTTGATCACATATTCAAGTACCAACACTATTTATATATCAAGTAGTTTGGTTTTTAGAGTAGAGCTCGTGCAGTCGAAATCCCATCAAGAGGCCCGTTTGGTACACTACCAAAATGGCATAGTCATTGAAGCATCCACGAAAGAGAAAGCAATCTCCGATCAACTTTATAGGTATGCAATGGTTTGCTTACTTTTATACTTTGTTGTGCGTTGCATTGTTGAATTCATATTTCCTACTTTTTTGCTCGGAATACGAAAGAAAATTGTAAGCAACATTTACAGCAATACGGACACATGCGCGTCGATGAATCTTGGTCGGATCTTAGCTGCTCGATGTCTGCAAGCAGGAATTCATTTCGCAATACCTGGCGCTACTGAAGAACAAATAGAGATCAGCAAACATGTGAGTCTTTTTTTCTATACCTAATGTGACAAGATTTTATTCTGAATTGTGATCTTGTCGCTGGTGTTTCTTCTTTGGTGAATAGACTTGTATGGCTCATTTTCCTTCTTCACTATTTCCATTGAAAAAGAGCCAAGAGTTTTCATGCCAACTCTTTGTATTTCTCTGAAGGTGTTTCACTGATGGGGCCGTATCCTATACTTCCTCCTTCCCCTAGGGGGACGCGTCCCCCGCCGCTGATTCTAACCTCAGCTTAGGGAGAACAGGGTTGCGTCATGGGGCCAGCCATACTCTGCGTCCAAACTACGGACAGCGCGACCCCACAGAGAAAAGAGTGCTTCAACGAGGAGGGTAGCTACAACATTACGCGTTCAATGACGGGTCTTGTGACGCAACCCTTGTCTCCTCCAGTCATAAGATAGGACCAGCGGCGGGTGACTCGTTACCCTGGGGGAACGATAGATACGGCCCATGATTAGTAGGAAACTCTGAGTGGTGCTCCGAATTTCCATGCTGCTTTGCCAACGAACGCTTGCTTAAATGCATCTTGCTATTGGTTCAAGGGAGCAGTCCTTCTCGTAGGTGAGTCCGCAGTCGCCTGATGTATTACTGCCATTTTGAACAAACTGAAAATCGTTTGGCATGTGAGCCACGGCTTAAGCTTTGCCATCTTCTTTGAAAACTTCGTATACCCTCGCCTTCAAACGACCAGAAATTGTGCAATTGCAGAAATTGACGTGGCATCGATTCAAGAACATCTTTAAGCACACGTGACGTCATCCTTTTCATCGAGAATTTAGCCACGTGTGCCACGTGGATTTCTGGCTGCACGAAACAGAGGTTATTGTACGTACCCACCGTTACGAATTCACGAATGTCTGCGTCTCGTCCGTACCCCGTACTCTCTCGCCTCCCAGTCTCGTTTCTTCGCCCCAAGGTCTCAGACTCGTCAGATGTTTCGAGCGGTTTCTTTTCTCTTCTTGTGCCAATTAGCTTCTATGGCTTCATATTTGGACCTTATTACCTATGGCTTCTGATATAGCGGGTGTGCGCTTAACTCCATAATTCTACAAATTTGCAATGGCACTTGATATGCCTGTGAGTATTACCACACTACTAATAGCTAGTCAAGTCATTTGCTCATTTATGTGGAAGACACTACACATACTACGTAGGGCTCAAAGCATATCACTTCAGCAAAAGGAGTTCTTCAAAGTACTCGAAGATGAGGGTCTACAGTTGAGTGAACCGCCCACTTTCGAGCAAACATACGAGACGGACAAATCAATGACATGGGAACGATATCCGTTAATGGCCACACGGCAGGATAAATTAGATGAGTTATAGAGCTCATCTATTAGATTAGGTTAGTACTTGTTCATATTGTTACATTGTTATTTCTAAACAATTTTTCGAATTGCATTGACCCAGTTTTTGATGTTTCCTTTTCTAGAAATTGATGCACTAGCACGTTCTGGTTGCATCCGTCGCTTCTTATAATTCATACTTGTACAGTACCATTTCCTTATTTGTCGCCATTCTTTAAGCACTTATTTGCAACATAAAAAAGTTAAGAGAATACAACTGCTGCACTTGAAAAGCGCTTTTCAAAGCATCAACAACATATGCAAATGTTCAAAATATTTACAAAAATTGTTCTAAACATCATAAAACACCGATAAATAAAACAAATCTAATAACACAGTAGTTTGCGATCGAGTGAGCAATTAAGCGGCTCGCGATAAGTTCAGAGAGTGCATCGTGGTTGTGGCAACTCTTTGGATTGTCGGGTGCGTAACTTTCCTACAAAAGGGTGTGACCTATGAGGGACCGCCAGCATCGTTGCAGCGATCTCTTCGTGATGTGCATTGCAGGGCGTTACGTGGGCTTGACAGAGTGCGGCAAATCCAGAGGGTGGGATAGGGAGCCACTCTTCGTGTGGCAAAAGTTCGACTCTGCAAGGTCAAAGGTCACACTCCTTCCCGTAAGAGAAGCCGCGCCAAATGTTACAGCATTGTTGAAGGCCGGAATCTCACCCCTTCATTGACTTCGTGATGAAAAAATACAGGGTTTTGCTGTAACTCCTTACCACCGCCATATCGTCATAAATGGGGTATGCCAATGGCCAAGATGCGCTCTCCAGAAGCAGATGCTTCGCTACTGTTTTGGTCAAGTGCAATGACCCATACAATAAAACAACCAATAACAAATAATTATTACTATGGCAAGAATTTGTTTTTTCCAACGAAGAAAAAAAAACCTTCAAGAAAAAGAAGCCCTAGCAAAGTGCCGAATCATGAACATACTACCTGTAACGCTACAGTAATCCACTCACAGTAACAGCGAGAATGTTAGTGGTATGGAAATTGAAGCTTCTCTTATCCATCCTCTATTTCGGAAAACGAGAACAGCGTCGAGTGCAGACCACACACCACAAGTGACGACGGCTAAGAAAAACGTGCTTTTTTTTTCTTTTTTCTTGGCCGTCGTCACTTGTGTGTGTGTCTGCACTCAACAATCTTCTCGCCTTCCGAAATAGAGTATATTTACAACGTTTGTTGACTACCACGACAACTTCACCGAGGTGACATCTTGAGGCTGCATTGTAACTTGAGTGGTTTCTTTACCCTCGTACAATAGAGTAAGTGAAGTTTCTTTGATGGAACGCACTGACGGGAATAGGGTCTTTGGTGAGATCTGGAATGTAGATAGATGCTTAAGGCGGTTCATGTTATTGTAAGTAGTGACTAGTATTCACTTGCTGCTCTCAGCACATTTACAAAGGCAAATTTGCTCTTCGGTTTCCACTTACCGGGTTACCTTGTCGATCACAGTCGCTATTCAGCTTTAGTTTTGATCTACATTCTGTCAAGGATCGGTGTAAAATTAACGCGGCTTCATTCTTAGGTGATGCCATTCTGTCACCATTGTAGTTAGTAGGGCCAGCGAGAGTCCTGAGATTACATATTTGATAGACGCAAATCGTGAAAAATAACGATTCATAAAAAACACAGGCACATTCAAATCATGAGCGTCAACTGACCTGAGACTAACGACATGAACATCGCATGGAAGGCTTGACGACATCCCAGACACGCTGTCAGCACCCGGTTTCTCTGAAAGTGCAACTCTACTTGGGGTCTAACTAATCACTTTAACATTTCAACAACTAAGTACGTGCTTTGCGAATTTGCAGCCAAATGCTTTTTATTCTACAAGTCGGCCGAGTATAAAAGGCCCATACATAAAAACACACTACTATTGAACTTTGAACTTACCGCTGGAAATCATCCGGACAGGTGGATAGTGAAGTTCTGCGCTCTGAGCAAGGCCAACCATTGAATGGAATCCTAATCGTTCTTGAGCCAAATTTTTATTGTCTGGAGGTGACAACGGTTCGACAAGAAGGCGGAAACGGGATAATGTCCGGTGGTTGTCCGTGACACCCTAAGAATATCAGCCTGCTACGATCACAAAATCGAAAATCAATAACTCCTAAAAACAAGAAAACCACATGGAAATATGTAGTCACCTGGAACAATCCTCGTTCACGTCGTTCATCATCTTGTGCCAAGCGACGGTCCAGCATTACTTCGAGTTGACCTAAGCAAAGGAAGGTCGTCTAGCATCTTAATTCTGCCTACTCATCAGGCTGATCACACTATGGATGAAAAGAAGAAATAATTGCGAACCAGCTTTGAGGCTAGATACTCCTAGTGGCTGGTTTCCATGTAGAGAAAGTCTTGTAGAAGTATCCTCAATATAAGCGGCGGATGGCATCGGGTAGAAATGAGCCTGCAGCGGTAACTTGTCAAGTTGTCGTCGCCGTCGGATAATCTGCAATTGATATTAGAGAGGAACGGATTGAACGACTTGGCAGTTCCACCGTTTGTCTAGAACTGTAGTGCGGCTATTTTTACCTGGAGTCCATTCAAGTCGGTATATAAGTCACTACCACTCTTGATATTTGTATTCATACGCATTGCAAGTTCAAAGTTCGATCTCTTCCTGAAATAAGGAATTTACGCGGAAGAACATTCCTCGCATTTCCTACGCCTTGGTCATTTGAAGTTAAAGTTATGATACCGATGTCCTATATGTAGTACTAGAAGACGACAATTACGTGAACAACATATTCTTTTTGAAAATCGGATCGGTATTCGGAGTTTGTTTCGAGCAGCGAGAATTTAGATTTATGCTTGGTAGAAGTATGTTCCAAGCATAGATAAGTTGATCTATAGCCCCGGGGCTAAGCTGTGTCCAAATCTATCGTGACCTGATCAGCTACATGGGTACAACAGCCAAGGTCGCATATTCATAATCAGACATTAAGCTCGGCAAATACAACCTCGGCTCCTAGCAAACTAACAAGGACAACTTCGAAGCCTGATAAATTATAGATTGCTTCACAGGGGTCTACCACTGGTGCATTTTAGGTGCATTCGAGGTCAAGGCTCAAAATCCGGCATGATTCAACTAACTTATTCACAGTGATTCATCATGGGGACGATGCATTCCAAACGTACCGTATATCGACTTCATTGGTTATTTCTATAGAAGGAGAATTCAACGCTAGAGTATAAACTTGGAGTATTTCTAGGTCCTGAGGTCCCACAACGAATACTTTTTTCATGATAGGCCCATTGACAACCTGAAATAAAAGAAGCATTGAAATTTGCGGCTGAATGAAAATT